AGGGAATCAGGACACAGACCACTCTGGCTTCTTCCATGCTGAATAGGATACCCCTTCAGTGCGTCTATCTAAAAGTCTCCCAAATTGGATAACTCTTATCTGTAGGGAGAAAAGAAAGTCCTTGATTGGTGAATAGGAGATGTGAAGGAGAAATAAAGGCAAGAGTAGTTAGCATTACAAGTTCTAGACAGGGAACCAGAAAAAAGCCAGAAGAGGACAATTTTCAAATGTTCATATCAGAGTCCATTGGGATTTCTTGACGAAATTTCTTGATGCTTCCAAAAGCATCCCTCTATTGGGTTCCTCCTCATTTTTCTTTTGTCTGCTAAGGCTGGACTCAAGAGTGATGGACTCAGGATTTGTTTTCAGGCACTTTGATAGCTGTTGGAGTAGCTAGAATCAGTGTCAGTTCCCTCTCAAAGGCTTCTAGATAGGGGGAGAAAACAAATTTATCCATCATTTTAGAACAATAGCTGGTTGTCTCCCTTAGCTACAGGTGGGCACTGCAGTATTGCAGACCAAGATTTGAAGTCTCACATCTGAGCAGCACTTTTTGCTTAGTAACAAAATCATCAATGAGAAATTGTTGTCTACATAACATAATGTCTGGGAAGTGTAATCCCTTGAACTCTTAAAGAAATATACTGATCACTTTAATCTTTGGTTATACTTTCCTTTTGGGTGTTTAAGACCGTACAGTTGGCCCAAAGAAACCAATTTATTTTTACTCTTCAGGTCATTGGAAGATCTGTTCTCAGGGGTCACATGGGCCTGGGAGGAGCCCCTGGTTCCTTTCTTTTACCAGTTCCATCTATGTGAAGATAAGTCAAAGGTCCTGCTAGACCATGGCTGGCTTCATTTGGAAGCATGGAGGAAATGTTTCCTCTGGGTATCTCATAGTTTTAATTCCTATTTCCCTATTGGTTACTTCTTTCCTTGCTGTGGTAAAATGCCTGATAGGTAATTTAAAGGATGAGAGGTTTATTTTGATTCAATTTCAAAGGTTGTAATTCATCATGGCAAGGAAGACATGGTGGCAGAAGTGGCTCTGTGGCAGCAGGAGCGTGAGGCAGCAGCTCTTCTTCACATCTTGTCAGATTAGGAAGCAGAGGTTAGACCAGAACTTGACCTAGGCTGTATTTTCAAATGCCTACCTCAAATGACACATCTGTCAACTAGGCCCTACCTCCTAAAGGCTCCATACCCGCCCCCAAATAGTGCCACCAACTGGAGACCAAATTTTCAAACATTTGAGCTGAGGGGTCATTTCACATTCAGATCACAATGCCTAGTGATCTGTGACATTAAGCATCTTTATTTTTTTTTTGAGACAAGGTCTCCCTGTAGCCTCAGCTGGCCTGTAACTTGATATGTGGACCAGGCTGGCCTCCATCTCACAGAGCTGCCTTCCCCTACCTCTGAGTGCTGGGATTAACGGTATGTGCCACCATGTCCTGCTTGTTAAAATATCTTCTTGTATACTTATTGACCATTTTTATGTTATCTTTGAAGAAATGCAGTTCAGTTTCTTTGCCCATTTTAAAGTTGTTTATGCTTTTGTTACAGAGTTATAAAAGCAGATACTCAGCTTTTTCATATTAGAGTGAAACTAACCATAGAAAGTATGTAAATAAGTATTTCTTTGTTTCAATAAAGCTTTATTTAAAAAGTAGGTGACAGCCCACATTTGGCTTGCACTTGGAGACTTGTCAGTTCTGTTCTAGGACAACTGTTCTCAGAATGTTTGTTCTTTTTTTTTTTTTTTTCTAGAAGAAGC